GGGGGGGGGACTTTTCAGACCCTGAAGAGAGCGTTTAGAAGTTTCACGTACCAAAGGAGCACAGAAAAGGGGACTTGCACTGAAAGGGACACGGAGAACTTTTCATTGAAAAAGGAAGCCCAACAGAATTCAGATCCAAAAGAAACAAATTATACTTTGAAACTGCATGGCTGAGAGAGTAACTTGTCAAGGAAACAAGAAGGGGCATGGTGCAACTCGAACAGTAGGCAACCAAGAGGCCTCCTACCAACCTCAAAGAGCGCTGGATAAGGCTTTTGTTTTGGTAGGAATGTAGCTGTACTGCTTGGCTTGTTTGATAAGTAAGCATTGCAAAACTGCATGAAAGCTTTGAAATAGCACTTGTCTTAGAGAGCCTCACAAGCTCTCAGCTTCTGCTCAACTCTTTTACAGTGTTGCTTTCTGAAAAATCGTAGTAGTAAAAAGAGACTTTGTGGAAATGTAGCAGTGCAAAACAATACTTGAAATTCATCTTCAGTGTAAACTTAATGTAGGTGAAGACAAGAAACAACGATGGCAGGAGATGGCAGAGTCTGAAGGAGTCAAATCCCACCTCCTCTTAGAGTCTGCTATCCAGGGTGAAGAAAGTACTTCAACCAATTGGCTTACAGTGATAGGAAGGAAGGCTGATTTTTTTTTTTTTTTTTTTTTTTTTTTCCTGAAGATGAGTTTTGTTTGTTTATTTTTTTCAAGGTTCATCTCATTTAGATGTTGTGGATTCTGGAGGGATGCTTACTGTAATATGAAAAACCAACAGGCATTAGTGATGTAGCTGCTTGGGGCTAGCAGGCAACAGATGTGTCAGTTGGGAGACTCTCATTCATGCTGCAGCTGCAGAAAATCTGGTTTATTTCAAATAGCACCAGACCTACACGGGTAGAAAGGCATCTTTAGGTGATCTGATTTAGCTCTGGATTATGAAATGTGAAGAACTGTTTACATGTATGCTATTTGTCAATCTCCCATACTAATCAGCAAATGGATTCCGGATCTTGGATAGATTGGAGACAGACCTATTATCTCTGAGCTCTGGATTACTGACTCAAAAGGGTGCTTTGACACATTGCTTGTGTCTGCTTATAGCTGAACACATGAAATTATTTCCTAACCAGAGATGTCTAGGGTTGTTTTAGATACTAGGAGGATGTTCCCCAGTCCCAGCTGGCACCTCTGAAAGGAACGCATTTCTTGTAAGCCTTGTGCAAATGCATCTCCTGGAGCTGCAAGGGTAGTTCAAGATTCCTTTATATAGCCAAATATTGGTATATGTATCTAGCCTATTGCCAGGATCCTCCTCTCTATGATCAGTAGAGAGAAAGATGCACCTCTGGAGCCTGATCTTTCATCTTTAAGTGTGAGACTCTTGCTGTCCTCACTTAATGACAAGCGTGGAACAATTAACCTGTGAAAACAAATGCCAACCAAAACAAAAGGAAAAGACTCAAAGACAGTCTTCAACTTCTTGGTGGCCTAGGGCTCAATCCTATGCTTAGCAAAATCACTGGCAGATTTCACTGTGTGAAGATTCACATCCCCTCTCCCCCCAGTCTAGCAAAACCACATTCTGCAAATTGTTCCTCACCAAATGTACGATCAGGTAAATGCTAATGTAGGCAAATGTCATTATTTTAATGTTTTGGCCTGCACTATGAAAACCTAAGGACTGATAAATGGGATGGGTTCAGTCCGGAAAGACAGAGTTAAAATAGAAGAGAGGATGCATCTCTTTTTTTTTTTTTTTTTTTTTTTTTTGTCATCTATTTTAACGTAACTAATTGTTAGAGGAGTCTTGTGATTGAAGTTAATCTTAGCATAGCTCTAAATAGTGCTTTTTTTTTTTTTTTTTTAAAGCTAATTTCACCCAAATGAGTTTAGTTAGTCTGAGTTGACAGCCTGTCTCCTGATTGGCTTAGTCTTCATTGTAGTGCCATGACAAGAAAAAATGAACAAAGGGGGGGGGAGGAAGGAGGTATGCATGTTAAAAATACACTTGTAGTCCTTTCTCCAGTAAATAAATAAGGACAGTGGGAAAACTTACTGCAGATTACACTGCTGATTATTTGGATTAATGCTGTATTTCTAATAGAGAAATGAGACTCAACTTTCAGAGGTCCTTAAATGCTTTGTAGTACGTAAAACATATCACAGCAAAGCAGATGCACAAAGTGTGGCTGTTATTGGCTAAGTCATTTCTGGGAGATAGGAATTTGCAGTGCCTAAATCTGTATCTCGGTATTTGGTAGCCTAAAAATACCTAGGAAAAAATAATTTTCAGAGGTTACAGAATTCTAGGAGAAAAAAAAAAAAAAAAAAAAAAAAAGGGTTTTGGGGTCCTTCCGATTTCCCCTTGTATTCTCTGAGGCTTTTCTTGTGGAATAGTTTCTGTTCTTTTCCCTAACAGAAACCCTCCAAAAACCTCTAGTGCTCTTTGGCTTTATATTAAAATAAGTCCTGACATTGTATACATACAAAGTATTTTTCTTGATGTTTACTGAAAGCTGTTACTTAGGATGATAGTAAAAGAAAACAGGGAAGAAACCCCCCCACCACCTTTGGATTAAAGCCCTTTTAATACAAATAGCATGAGTGGTTTGCAATTTGGGGGGTGGGGAGGGGAGTGATTTTAATTTGAACTGTGAAAAATGAAGGCAGTCTTAACATTGGGAGACTTTTGAAAAATCATATCTATTTTCTATAATTGTCACTAACTTTTACTAAAATAAACCAATGATGCCTTCACTATAGAAAGCACTGCAATAAAATAAATAAGCAAATTAAATAAATAGTGGAAGGGTTTATCTTACCTTCTTGCCTATTTGGTGTTTGTGTGTGTTTTTTTTTTTTTTTTTTTTTTTAGTTAGAGCATCAACAACCTGATTTAAAAGCAGGATCTTATATGCATGCCTCTACAGAAGTGTTCTTTTATCCGGCTCTGTAGCATATAAACATTCACGCTCACTACATCCATGGGTACAGATGCATGTGTTTCCTTATACTTGTGCATGCATTTATGTATGTGCAGTTCTTTTTCTTTACAGAAGCACACTGATGTAGCAAAACTTTCAAGAAGTTTTACCAGTCTGGACTATAATGAACGAGGGAAAGGAAAATAAATCAAGCTGACACGTTGTATTCCTGTTCCGTGCTTGCACATAGCATACCACTTACACCTCTTCCAGAACCAAGCCACTGAAGTTTATCTGAAATGTGTAAAGCAACGCTAGTATCTACATTTGGTGATGGGAACTCAATCCTCCTTGAGAAATTTAAGCGTCTTGCAGAATCCAATTCTGATGGCTGAAAGCGATCTAGTCACTTCAAAAATGAGAGGACTGTTTCATTGCTTAGCATCCCTTCTCCAGGTATTCTGCTGTGTTTTGAACTCTATAGTTGCAATTTGTAGTATTTTCATTCCTATGAACTAATGTGTAGCAAAGCAGAAGGATGGCTTGTGTCTATCAGTCTGAATGGAGAAAGATAGTTTTACAGGATGAGAAAAAAGCACCTGTATGCTTTCCCTTCCTTCCTGTTCTGTTCTTCATAAAGCTTATTAAGAACATTAGGTTGTCAGAGTCAGCACACACAGGGGTTGCTCTAAATGAAATGGTTTTAACACAGATGCAGGTGTCTGACAGCAAATTCTAAATACTCTTCAGCAGCCCTGGGAAGAAAATAGGCGAGGTGTGGAAAAACCTCACCTTGGAGGGACTTCTCAATTCCCTAGTGTTACAACATCTATGACTAAAAAGGCTCATGTTAAAGCTATGCAGAACAATTAAAATGGGCAGGATTTGAGCCTTCGGTATTGTTCCTAGTCAGGAAAGGACAGAAGGCTTTAATCTTCTCTACTGTTCGTCTTAATTGTAGCATTTGGGACTTTTCTCACAGATTTCATAGGCTTGATTAAATATTAACCTTTTAAGACATAATGTTAAACCTCTGTTCTACAAAGAACTATCACTCAATCTTTCATGCAGTTTTTGCAGGATTTTTTTGAGCACTTGAAATTGTTTCTAATTATTTTTATTTTAATTACTGGTGAATAACATTTAAGATAAAACTATTTCTACTTTTCCTTTTGTGTATTTTATTTGCCTCAGTGGTAACAGTGTTTAACCTCAGCATGTGATAATCCTCCATATGTCATGAACATATGCTGCATTTATAACATTTCAGACAAGTATAGTGCACCTAAGTCCTAGCAGCTTCCTAAAACCCTTGGAGATTCAAGCTACTATTTACCGTGCTACAGCTAGAGATATGCTAGAGTATGTTGGGTCTACAAAGCCAGCCTTATGAGATGGAGGTGAAAGAGGTGTACAGGAATGATATTTGTTGTTGATACATACATTCTTGGAAAAGAATCAGTAAGCCTAAAAGTTACAGTAAAAGGACAGGAGGTCGGGGGGAGGAGCTTAAATAAGAAAGACAGTTTTATTTTTTTGTTACCTCATACTGGTATAAATTAATGTGATTGCTGAAATCAATTGAGATATGTCTGTTTGTATCATTTGAGAATTGTTCTTGTTTGTTACGGCTGTTTAAATAAGCCTGTGAAGTAAGTCAGGTGGTTTGGTCTCATTCTTTCCCTCTCTGCTGTCCCAGGATCTATGGAGCTATGTACTTACGTAGTCCAGCTCTATTGTAAGTGTGACGAAATAACTGGGGCGGGGGAAACAACGCAATGCAACAAACACAAGAGTTTACCAAGAGTTAAAGTAGGGACTTCAGAACATCCAGGAAGTCACAGCAGAAACTAGGTGAGTGTGTGGATCTAACTTTGTTTAGAGTGGGATAACAGGTCTCTTGAGCCGCAGAAGTAAACTGCGATTGCCAGGTTGTTATGCAGAGAATGAGGCACTGCAATTGTTGTCAGTGTTTGTTTTGCAGGGTGATCTTTCCCAAATAAAAAAAAAAAAAAGAACATTTAAAAAAAAGGGGGGGGGGGGGGAGGGAGGAAGAGTAGGGGGAAGAAAGGAAGGGAGGAAGGAAGTTCAGGGGAGTAAGAGTAAAAAGAAATTGCGTTGTCCATCAAATAAAATATTCTCGTTTGCACTCGCTCACTGTGTTCTGCAAGTCAATATCAGCTTTAAAAGAGCTCTCAAGATTTTCTGGGTATTCCTTCTCCTTTGTTTGGCTACTTCGATGTGCCTGTTTGTGCTGATAGAGGAATCTGCTCATGATGGCGATGATGCAAAAGATGATGAATATCACAACTGCTATTACACCTGAGGAGAGGTTAAAAAAAAAAAGGGAAGGGTAGAAAGGGTAAAATGCAGAAATAAAGACTCAGTTATGTAAAAAATACATTACTGGTGCATTTCAGTTTAGACGATATGATAGAACAATGAATCTTAGTCTGTACTCAGTCTTCTGTCTCTGTCGTGCTCTTCTTCATTAGCTGTATTTGGATTTTTATCTACTTGGGTGACATGGACAGTGAGCAATGATATAATTGACCTTCTGATTTGGATCAACTTCTGACTTCACTAGAAGCAAAGTTGGATCAGTGTTTGTTTATAAAAACAAAACTAGATACGTATGCTCAAACAAATCCCTGCTCTGTCGTATTTTCTCCTTTCAGAGATAACATAGTTGGCATGAGCCTTGTACAATTAGGTTTATAGCTTCTAGATATTATTGAAGGCAGCTCCCTACAGGGCATCCTATAAAATGAACAGAGATAAATTGCTCTCCTGGTTGTTAAAGGAAGATGAAAACCCTACATGAAGCTATAAAGACAACTTTCCTTATTATATAGATGCTTCCATACAATCTAGCAAGCTCTTCCATAACACCAACTCACAAATAGAGTGCTCAAGGAGTAGAGGATGTGTGAGTAAGGTGTTGAGGCTCTCATCGGTGTGGTGCGCAAAGCAGTTACTGGTTAATGTGGTGGAGACCCACTATTGCCTTAGTTGAAAGTGTATGTTCCTACATAGGTAGCTTAGTTATAGGTATGTACCAAGAAAATAATGGCAGTGCATTAGGTAAAAGTGTTTTATCATCTAACAATTACTTTTCAATTGTAATCGTCAAAAGTTGTTACCTCCAATCACAGCAGAATCACTTCTGACCGCATTGGTGAGAGGCTCTCTTTCGTCTGTCTTCCCAAATGGATCTATTGGTTAAATGGAATAAGATGAATTATTTCTATCAACTATTTCATATTTTTTTTTTTTATGTGGCTTAGACAGAAGTGTCCTCTTAATATTATGAATTGTAGCTTTTTTAGGAAGATGTAATTCGGGGTTTTGGAAAATTAAACCGAAAAGGTCTCTAAGCTTGCGAGACAAATTTCTCCTACATCTTCACTGATAAAGATGTATTTAAGAAAAAATGGAAAAGCTTACAACTACTCTAACACCTGAAAGTGTTTTCTCAGTGTATCTGTAGTGAAATCACTGATAGAAATTTGAGCTAAATAGCACGTTGGGAGCTTTACTCGTAGTTTTTTTTTTTTTAATAATACCTAAAAAAAAGATACCAAAAGAAGGGAAAGATTGGAATGCTATAGCTCTGACCCATATTTGTAGATGAACATATACAAGTCAAATTAAACTTTATAAAGAGGGGAGATAATATTTTCAGTGTTACTGTCCATTTTGTATTTGCAGTGCATGTTTCTGGTGTGCTTCATAGCAGACAATTCAGACTCCTCTGGGTGGAGGGAAGAAAGCTAGAGGTGGGAGTCGGCAATCATAAGCAGTGCGCTCAGAGTAATCATCAGCCTCTGATGCGAAAGAACATCATTTGTTTTCTGTTAAATATCTTAATTAGAAGCTGCAGGAAAAAGAGATTTGATGCAAGTCCAAATGTAAAAGGAATCGTGATATGATATGAGCTTATACTAGTTCTCAGAAGACAAAGAGGCTTCGGTGGTCAAGGGGCAAAAACCATCTGTTAATTTGTACCCATTTCTGGTAGTTAGGATCCTTGCTGCATCCGCTGCCGACTGAAGTGGCAACTCAATCACCCCTGCTAGTGGTGAGGATGCTCCCAGCTGCTCTGAGTCTCCTTGACTGCATAAAATTCGTGTATGTAAAATACTTCAGAGTCTCAGAGGACGGTCTCGGGATTGAAAGACATATACAAACTGTTGGAATCACCTTACTGATAACGCTCCAGCGCTGTTGCTTCTCTTTTGCTTGAGAGAATCAAGTAGTGATTTTAGTGGATGTCATACATATCTGTCAAGGGGTTTGTGCAAAGGTGTTTTTTTTTTTTTTTTTTTCCCTCCTTTCTGCTAGAGCAGGAGCAGATTTCATTGTTATAAGCTGCCTATGGCTGATTGCCACTGGGATATGAAATCTGTGTCATGTTTATGTTTTCCTTTGAGATCTGCAGCACTGGAGCTAGAGTGGATGGGAACGGCCAATGAGGCACATAACCATACTTCAGATGCTGTGAATGCTATGACTGGGTTTTCTATTCGCTTTAGAGAAAATGTGGTAAATGTCTTTCTAAAGCAGCATTGGCTAATCTTAATGCCCATTCTTAACACTTTAAATTCTTAGAAAGTAACTTAGCGGTTCCAGCGTTTATAACATTCTCACAACTGCATTACGGTAAAAATGAAGGGAACATCACACTCCGGTATTCTTTTAAATTCCTTTTTTCCTTTTGGCAGGATGTACCTGAAGAGGAATATATGGTGGTTGCTGTGTTCACATCTGCTTCCGTTAGGGATGAGCAGCTGGATGCGGTCAAGGAACCCTTGATGGTCATGGGAGCAATGCTGGGATGGCGTAAGGCAGCTTTCAGGGGAGCGATGTGGTTATACCAAACAGAAGACATGCAGCCAGTGAAACCGTAGGCATTTGCCTTTGAGACTTCAGGGTCCAGTGTTAAACTGTCTGCGACACAATAGAGAAACAGTCTGGGGATTGTCAGTTTTAGGAAGACAGGTTAAAAAAATTATTAATTATTTTATCGTATTGACTGCTTTATTTCATTTAATCTCAAGTAGTTATTTAGGTGTTCCCTTAGCTTACTATCAAGATGGCTTGAACAACAGACTGCGTTACATTTCTTTTCTTATCCTTCTTCTACTGTTTTGACAGTACGTAACACATAGTGGATGTGAATCGCTACAGTAATAGCAATTAAAAAATAGTAGTAAACAGTAAAAAGAAAAACAATGAACATCATGGAATCGGTGAGATGATCCTCTTGAGCTTTTGGGTTACTCTCTGTTGTCTATTAAACATCACTTCTACTAATACTACTACTAATATAGGCTTCCACCCTTCTCTGGGTGTCTATTCTTTAACTTAATTTTGCAGTCCACCTAATCATGTCAGTAGCATCGGCATTTGTTATTTTTATAGTCTGAGTTGCTAAGAATCATCCAAGTTACGAGATTGGCTGTCATAACATTTGTTAGCCCTATTGCACTGAGACAAAAAAATGTAAAACTATACTTCATTTACTTCACATCCAAAGCCGAACTAGTGCCTCTGTACTCTTTTCCAGCCCAAAGATGAGATGGTAGAATTAATGTGTGTCTGCATTTACTTAAATTTCACAAACATGAAGTAAGCTCAAAAGCAGGCCTTCTTTATTTGGTTACTTTACTTAATATCAAAGGTTCTCTTTTTAAGCTTGTGAAGGACAGCAAAGCCATCATCCCTTTCCCCGAAGCTTTTATTTATTTGGCAGAAATATGAATTTGTATTGTTAAGAGGTCTACAGCACAAGCACAAGTGGCTTGTTTTTAGTTTTTTTTCCTCTTCTTTTCTCTTTTAATTGACTTTGATACAAGACAAAACCTAGATGTGTACAAAAACAGTATCAGTAGTTCTTCAGAACTGTAGAAACCACCTGCTGTGGAAAGTACTCCAGCACTGAAAACTCTGGATGTAAGTAGTTCCGACAATGCTGGGAAAACAAGGATTCTCAGCTTTTCAAGTTTATTTTCATTGCTTGAAAGATAATGATGTTAAGTGTTAAAATGGAGTCCAGTTTTTCTACTATCAAACTTGCAGCCAAAGGAATTTAGGAACAAAGTAGGGTGCCTCTTTGATCTTTGAAACTGATTTTGCCACCTGAGCAACAAAGACATCTTTTATGTGTAAAACCATACTAAGCCATCTCAAAATGTTATCTTTGGCACTCAGGATCTGTGTCCATGATGTCATGCAGCCAGAGGGAACAAGAAGAGTCTACTAAGTTAGAAGACTAAATATTCAGAAATATTCTGATGGATGGATGAACTACTGCTGCCGGAGGAGTTAAGAGGACAATCTCTGGGCTGGGAATGACTGAATAACTGCCAGAGAGATGTGAAGGTAAGCAGTAAGACTTGGACACTGAATAAACCCAGTAGCATTCAGGTTTTTAATGAGATTCTGGCGGAGGTCCTAAGAAGCAGACAAAGGTCCAAGTTTCTGCATGAAGGTTTATAGAAAATATTTTTTTTTGCAGTATTTGTCATCGTTGTTGAATTAACAAAAACCTTTTTGTTGTATACTGATGTTTTGTGTGTAAACATCAGTACTGTCAGCATTTCCTATTTTATTAACTTGGACACAAACAGTGGATGTGTTGATGTCTTTCAGGCAATCTAAATGGTTCTGTTTTGTCCCAATGTGCAAAAGGTAAAATAAAGTATTGAATTCTTTTTTTATGGTACCATAGCTTGAAAAGTCTAGGAGTACTGCTGAAGACTTCTTTTTAAAAGAAAGTCAATTTGTGGGCAAATTCCTATAATCTGTTGTTGAACTATTCTTTGCACGAAAGAGAAAGAGGTGATTTGTTAGAAGGTTTTGAAATTAGGGTTTAAAAGAAAAATAAAAAAAATCCAAGAAAAAACTGAAAAAAAACACCAGAGGCTTCTGGTAAAAATTCCATGTACGCAGATAAGGGTTTCTAAGACATCAGGTCTTTATCTGCAGTCAACAAGAGTCCTATAGGACTTGGAGGCAAATGGTATCAGGTGCTTTATGAATCCTTGTGTGGATAATGTATGTCTGAGATAATAACAGGATGTAACTGCGTTGAGTTAAATGATTTGTGTAGAGAGGAGTGGGATTGTGAGAAATGTAATTGTGCTTTTGTGGAATTGAACTGTTCATCCCTCAAAACATAGTTCTTTATATTTCTGAGGAAAAAAAATTAGTCTTCCTCTTCATTAGGTACACTGTGCACTTGATTAAGAAGTAGGGTACCGGATATGAAATGTACTTCAGAAATAGCTCTGAATCAGGAAAGGACAATGAGAAGGAACTGAAAGTACTTGTTGTTGTGTTTTCCCAGGAATGGAAAGAATATTACAGGATTTCCTTGCAAACAACTGAAAACAGATTGCCAAAAGGAAAGATTTGAGATAATGGTATCATTGGCCTGAGTGGAGATAATTTTGGTCATGCAATTGGTATGGTTTCAAAAAGACAGCTTGTCACAGAAGAAGAAATTTTACCACGGATTACAGTGTGAAATTGATGACATCAAAGTTTCCAATGTTGGAATTAAAATCAGTCACAACATTGCCAGCCCTACATGGTTCTGCATGAGCTTGAAACATAACCTACTGTAAGAAAAAAGAAATAGGAAAAAAAACATGGGCCTCGGATTGCATGAAGCGGTTGTGTTATTGTAGCTTGGTTATTTTCAGTAGAGTAAACTAGCTCCTAAAACATGCTGAAATAGACGTAAGGATTTAGTGTAAGATGCAGCTCCATAGAACCATGCTGGGATTACAGAGACATCTATGTGAAACACCGACAGCAGGAGAATGTGTGCCACCAAGTTGGTCTCACAAAAGCGACATGACACTAAACCTTCCCAATAAGAACGAACAGAAAATGGTGGATTAACACGAGCATGGGTGTAAAAAGGGTAATCTAACAGGTATCGTCACAAAAGAAAAGAATGTGATGCAATGGACAACAGTGTTAGATGGCACAGAAGAGCTCTGAAGAAAAAAGAAACTGAATAAAAGAAACAAACAGATGGTACTGGTGTTGAATGTTGAATTGTGTTGAATGATCTGTCCCTGTCAGTCGTCCCCATCAGTCTCTCCTCTCCCTCTCAATCTCATCATCTCATCTCGTCCCATCCGTCTCGTCCCGTCCCAGCTAACTATATCCCATCCCGTCCTATCCCAGCTAACTATACCCCGTCTCATCCCAACTAACTATATCCCATCTCATCTCATCCCAACTAACTATATCCCATCTCATCCCATCCTATCCCAACTAACTATATCTCATCTCGTCTCATCCCAACTAACTGTATCTCATCTCGTCTCGTCCCAGCTAACTATATCCCGTCCCGTCCTATCCCAGCTAACTATATCCTGTCTCGTCCCGTCCCAACTAACTATATCCTGTCTCGTCTCATCCCAACTAACTATATCTCATCTTATCCCATCCTATCCCAACTAACTATATCCCATCTCATCTCATCCCAACTAACTATATCCCATCTCATCCCATCCCAACTAACTATATCCCATCTCATCCCATCCCAACTAACTATATCCCATCTCATCCCATCCCAACTAACTATATCCCATCTCATCCCATCCCAACTAACTATAGCCCGTCTCGTCTCGTCCCATCCCAACTAACTATAGCCCGTCTCGTCCCGTCCCATCCCAACTAACTATAGCCCGTCTCGTCCCGTCCCATCCCAACTAACTATATCCCGTCTCATCCCATCCTATCCCAACTAACTATATCCCGTCTCATCCCATCCTATCCCAACTAACTATATCTCATCTCATCCCATCCTGTCCCAACTAACTATATCCCATCTCATCCCAACTAACTATATCCCATCTCATCTCATCCCAACTAACTATATCCCATCTCATCCCATCCTATCCCAACTAACTATATCCCATCTCATTCCATCCTATCCCAACTAACTATATCTCATCTCATCCCAACTAACTATATCCCGTCTCGTCTCATCCCAACTAACTATATCCCGTCTCGTCTCATCTCATGTCATCCCAACTAACTATATCCTATCTCATCTCATCCCAACTAAACTATATCTCATCTCATCCCAACTAACTATATCCCATCTCATCCCATCTCATCCCAACTAACTATATCTCATCTCATCCCATCTCATCCCATCTCATCTCATCCCAACTGTATCTCATCTCATCCCAACTAACTATATCTCATCTCATCCCATCCCAACTATCTCATCTCCTCCTCCATCCCATCCCATGCTATCTATCTCATCCCATCTATCTCATCCCTCATGTCATCTCGTCCCTCATCTCATCCCTTCTCTCATTTCATCCCTTCCCGTCTTCAATTCAATTCACCTTCGTTTCTCATCTCATGTCTTCTCATCTCTTTTATCTCCATCTCCATCCCATCTCATCCCATCTATCTTATCTCCAACCCCTTCTCATCTATCCCATCCTATCCATCTCAATCCCATCTCATCTATCTCAATCCCATCCATCTGCATCCCATCCTATCCCATCCCGTTTGTCTCAATCCCATCCATCTCAATCCCATCCCATATCTCTCAATCTCATCCATCTCAATCCCATCCCATCCCATCTATCCCAATCCTCATCTCCTCCTCCCCTTTCTTTTTATCTCAGAAAATCAGCCACATGAAATCAACTCTTTTATAATGGCAGCACACTTGACCATGAGACCCCAGTATGCCTTCTCTAGAAAGGTGGTTCATTTCTTCATGGCATCAGAACATTCTTGTGTGGAGCAATGCCAGCAAAGAGAACATGTTCCTTCATTTCTACCTTGCCTGGATTTTGTGCAACTTGAATATAGGGTCCCGTTCTAGGCTTCTGAGCAGATGATGGACTGATTGTAGAGAGTCCAGCAAAGAAGGCCTACTCAGATGATTAAAGAACGGGAGCGTCCTTTCTATGAGAAATGTATGAGAGAGCGCTGGGCCTTTGAATTGCTATTCTGGGAAGGTTTAAGGACTCTCCTTAGCACAGCTGTCAGATTTAACTTGGCAAATGAATTCCTGACGCAAAAGAGAAAAGTCTGAGGAAGTTCATTTAATATGTGAAGGAGAAACCTGATCTAGGATTAGGGTGAAATTAAATTGACTTTCTGGGATTGTGTGATTCCTGGTACAGCAATAAGGTCTCCAGTCAGCTGAATGAGCAAGTTTATTGCTCTAGTGCCATTACATAAAATTTTTTCTACCTTATTGTTACTAATGGAAATATCTAGAAACCTTGGAGAAAAGACAAAAAAAAAAAAAAAAAAAAAAAAAAAAAAAAAATGGGGAAGGACAGATCCATTAAAAGTTATCCAGAGACAAATCTGTGGTGGTTAACTGAGTGCCAAACCCTTAGAGATACGGGCTTTCTGACATTGCAATAAACTTGTAAAAATACTCCTAGTTTTGTGGCTACATCTAGTTTCCCCCATGAGGCTGAGTTGTACCTTGAAAATTTTCTGGTTACGTTTTTCAAGGTCTTTGTGCTATTTTCCATCTGATGGTTCTTCTCTTAGTTTTATTGATTGGTTATCTATAGGTGGAACTGTATGCAGTGGTCACGATATGAGCAATGCTCGTTTTCATCACTATAGACGAAACTTGACAAACTGAGATTTTAGTTCAGCTCTGCTTTGGGCTGAAAAGTGTCAGGTTCTCAAGCCTACCCACAAAGGTTTGAAAGCTTGCTGCTTTTTTAGATAAACATGAGTTTACTGAAGGAGAAAATCAGTTTCTGTCTTTAACTTACGCAGTGCAAAATGCACTGATGTCATCATATACAATTACATTGCATTGTAGTAGACGTTAGAGGACATTTATTATTTCTGTCAAGCTACCGGTCCTGGAGGCTGTGGGTGCTGTTAATAAAGCATATAAATTGAAGTAGTGAAACAGATGGCAAGCTTCGTATGGAGGTCCAATTCTAACAAAGGACTAAAATCTTTACAACCAAAGGAACATTTAGAATCTTACTGGGAATGCATGAGACTTATATAAAGAAATAAGACATAACCTGACAGCAAAATAGGATTGTAATTTCCAAATTTCTGGCAAAGTTTTCCCAGTCTTGTATATGCTTTGCAGCATGAAAGGGTAAATTCAAAAAACATACGTGCACAGAGCACGCAAAATTGTGCCGGCAGTGCAATATGTAACAAAAATATTCCTTGCAGAATTCGAATAGAAAAGGACAGGGAGTGCAAAAGGGTAAAGAGGATGAAGGCTCACAGCGCTGTTCTTCTTATCATTAGGAAACAGAAGTGGCTTCAGAGGAGCAAGCTACAGTCAGCAAAATGATATCATTAGGCCAAGATGCCACTCTGTGCAGCCACACAGGCAATATGAATCACTTTACTGGAATGAGCAATGGGAGACGCTAACATTGCTATGAGTACAAACAAGTAGAGCTGCCAAATTTTTGCACTGATGAGCTATATAAGTAAGAGTAGTAGACTGCTCGGATAACCCCTGCAGCTAAATCAGCCACACACAAAAAAAAAAAAACCCAATTCTATTAAAAATCCAGCACATAACACAGGTTAACTTAAACGCTATTAAAATGATAACTCAGGAATGTTTTTAGTAAAACCTACCTGTGACCTTGCCCAAAGTAAGAGATTTGATGGCCTTAAAATCAATCTCAGAAAAGTTGTGTTTGAGTTTGATAACTTGATCAACCTGGAAGAGGTCAGTACAATTAGTTCATTACAATAGCATGTAGACACACCTAGACCTTTGTCCTGCAGACTTGTGGGAAGAGCCTCAGCTGCAAATGATTCTGTCCGCAAGCGTGATTCAGTTTCTAAAGATAGCCAAGTGAATACACTTTGATTTTTGCATGAGAAGCTGAAAGGTGCACAAGAATAGTCATATAAAGGCCTTAAAGAAACTTTCCCTGCAAAAAAGTTTAAATGCTTAGTGCTGAAATTCCTCTGCTTCCCAAAATCCATGTCTAGGTGCTGCAAGGTGCACACAAAAGAGGCTTCTCTGTAAATTGCTGTGGAGAATTAGGTCTGCATAAAATAAAGAAAACCACGGTCAGCAGCCAATAGAAAACTGCTACTTGAGGAGAATCCTGACAGCGTAAACCTCCTTCCTGCAGAATTAGGCCTACCTATCTTAGTTGCTGCGTTAACCATGGATCATTTACCACCCAGAAATGGAAATCGCCAAGGAAAGAAAAATGACAGCACTCCGTGTGTTCCTTTCCCTTTCCCATTCTTTTCTTTTATCATCGTTCAGCTTTTGTTCAGTCCCCGCCACTCTTCTCTATTAAATGGGTGTGGCTCAGACCTGGCAAATTTGTTTTGTAATTTGAAGTGTAGAAATTAGGCTCAGAAGGAAAACAGGAGGAGCAGTAAGATGGTCCTCTTCATCCTGACTCGGTAAAACAGGCGACGTGTGGGAACAGGGCAAAGCAAAGACCTCATCTCCCATGGGAATCTAGACCCAAAAACAAGCCATGACGTACCTGAATGATGAGCTCTCTGCCTTCTCTGTTTATCTTCACATGATGCATCTCTCGGTTGGCAAAATTTCCAGAGTCAATTGTGAAGATGAGCAGTCCATCCTTACTCAACTTGTATCGAACCTGTAAACTTCCTTAAAAGAAGAACAGAATTCTATAAAACCTGTGTCTACAATGAGATATACAGCATATAACTCATTTTCTTTTTATTATAGTGAAGAAACATGGTTAAAAAGTCAAGAAAAAGGTTGAGAAGAAATGAAAGAGTTCACACTCTAATGAAAGAAGAAACTCATAGAAGACTTTTCCTTCTTACTAGCTAATAAACTCTGCTGTGGAGAAACTAACTTAATTGAGTAACTGAGTATATCAAAGGAGAGTTTCTGTCCACAAGCCAGACCAAGCAAGGCCTTGGGAGTTTATCTTCGTACATTAGTCTGTGAAGGGTTGCTTCCACCAGAGGGCATGCAGGTCTTGCACTGTTCTGGTAAACTAATACTTGTAGACTTTACTGCTTCAAGTAAAGGTTTCACCCAGACGTAACAGACAATACAGAAAATAATGAAAATCATGACAGCTGTAACTTCATTTCAAGCATTTAAATGCCCGGACTTATTGTGATTTATAAGCGATGCAAGAAAAGATATACTGTAAAAGATGTCAGAAAATAAACAACTTTGACCTTGGTTATCTAAACTATTTGAAAAACAATTAAGTTAAAAACAAATCTCAAGTATTTCTTTTAGTCTTTGTAGGAAAAAAAGAAATCTGATATAAACAACAGTAGCATAACAAATCAGAATGCATAAGAAAGCAAGGAATTCAATATGAATTTTTATCTTTCACAAATGACCAGAAGAACTACAGACACAAAATTTAGAAGGGAAGAAAGTGTTCAGATAAAATCCTGTCAAGCTTACTTTTCTGTGAATAAAGCAGCGGAGAGAAAAAAAATTACTAAGCTTTTTTGGAGCGCTTTTTATGCACAGCAACCAAAACGGGTCAAACAACAGCGGTACTAGAGAGTTAAAAAGCTTTTCCAAGGCTATTTTCTCAGTGTCTCAAAGGACAAAGCAAAGGACGGCATTGCAGCCTTGAGCGAAGGCTCCTTCATTCATTCCCTGTTTGGAAAACCATTGTAAAAACTCCCATCTCCTTCCATTTCAGTGCTCGCTCGTGTCAGCGCAAAGCCAGACTATTCCAAGAGCCACTAGGTTTTGCAAAAGGCTACAGGCAAACATTACCAATGCTGAACGAAGGGGACTGACTGACTCATTGTCACCGAGGGATGTTTTCACGCAGCGTTAGCTCTAAGACTGGCCTCAGCGTTCACAGAGGCAATGTTTGCATACAAGTCGCAAGGCGGCAAAAGCAGCCTGAGGCATGGCTGCATGAGCTGTCACAAGTGCGTGGTGCACGGTGATGTTACTGAGGGGCAACAAGAGGCTGCTCTCCTCACTGCATAGCATGGACACAACTTCTCTTTTTAGCCTTGCAAATTCTCCTGCGATAAGGTCAACTTTCCTGTTCTACAGGCTACTGCAAAACCACCTTATTAGTTTAAAACAACTTATAAAGTTCCTGCAGAGGAACTTATAAAATTATAAAATTTTAAAATAAAACTTATAAAATTCCTGCAGAATTTGACCACCTCTATAAAACTCACAGTTATTGTTAATAATTCTGCCAAACTAGACTCAAAGTACCGTTAACATCATAGAATCATTGAATTGTTAAAAAACAGCTCACTCAGATTGCCTCTTTCTAACAGTCTGTACAATCCCATTTGAGCCCCCATCTCTTTCTGACCTTTGCAGGACAGAGATGAAGTTACCAAAGATGAGAAGGAACATGATAGCACATTATTAGGATGAAGGCTTTTTAGCTGATTGAGAGGTTTACTGGATCGGGTGAGGTTTAAAAAAAAAAAAAAAAAAAAAAAAAAAAAAAGATTTAAAGGCATTTTCTCACACATATCAGAGGGGAATATTTTTGAAGATATCAAGGTCAGTAACAACTACTACATTATTCAGAGTGATATTATAGGTCCAGATTCAGCCGCTTCGATTCATACTGCAGAGCTCCTGTCCCCTCACAGCCAGGCCAAGGAGCTGCTGCTTATCACCATTCTTGTTGCACTTGCAAGTTCAAACTTAAATCTTAATCTCATTTCCTGCTACCGAATGAAGGACGCATCTACAGGGAATAAAAATGTAAATGTTTTATAATCACTTTACTCCAGAAAAACATGAGAAAAGAAGCCATAGTGCAAAGAAGTTAAGGGACCTTTTCAGACCTGCTTGTTTGGGCAGCGGGAGAGTCAATAAAAGTGGAAAAGTTGCCTGACCCTGCACACCACAGCTGAGATGACCACACGAAGTAAGCTGAAATGCATTGAGAAAGAGAAACAGATCGATTCTAACTGAAAATCGTGTCCCGGAACTCTATCAGCCACACATACACCTTTCACCTGAAGCCTTTGAAAGGATCTTAGTGCAGAAAATGGAGCACGACCTTATACCAGTTGATTAGTTTGTAAATGTAAATGCACTTGTCTGCTCTTGTCAAATGCTACGGTCACACTAGAGTTTGAAATATAAACAGTGCTCCTATGGCCAGGCAATCAATGTAGTCAACAGTGTGTTTGTGCTCAAACGCAGCCATCAGATACGTGATCTATCTCGACTCTCGGGTACAGATTTACCCATTGTCTTAGATCAGAGAAACTCCATTTTAAAGCAGAAATCATCCGTTCCGTTTGCTGGGGGTCATTGGAGCAGATTCTCGATGTCCATTAAGAACACATCTTACATATCTATAGAGGTACAATTTTAAACTTAAATTGTTTAAAGAGATGAATGAATAGCTTCTCATCAATTCCTTTAAATTCCAATAGCAACTTTTTTTTTTTTTCTTCTGATTGATGTTCTTCAGAATCATTTTATTCAAATTGGCATTTTTCCTGCAGTCAGCTTTGCATTAATGTAAGTCAGGAATACATGGGCTTGTCGCCAGAGATGTTTGGGAATTTACATCAGTGTAGCTGAGAGCTAATTTTGGTACGCACTGATCAAAATTTCTTATGTTGGCGGAATACAGAATCACGTATCTGATGGAATACACATTATCATTTTGCTATTTGACTAGCAAAATAAATGGATTATTAATTAAATAGTTATTAGGCATTTTTTTTTTTGTCCTCTGAATTTTGATTATCCGGTCTATTGAATTTATCCATTCACATCATCCCAGTGTCACTAATCACAAATAAAAATCTGCATATGTAAACCAGCACTGTTCTCACTGTTGCATCATTTCTGCCTCAAAAAAAAAGGATTCACAATAACCATAACCAGCGCAATTTCTGGCAGTCTTGTCACAGTCGTGCTCGTCAACCTCTTTTCAGTTCCCTGTGTCTGGTCATGCACACCTGGAGTGCAATAATGCTCAAGTGATACACTACATGTTGTGTTTTCTTCCTTCTCTAATATATGTGGAATTGCTGGAGGCAATTTCTATAAAGTCCATAAAAGAGAGCAGGAAGAAAAGAGAGAGGCATCATGGCTTCAGCCTCAGGCAGGAGAATTTTATGCAGCATATTACCCCAGCAGTACTAGGTAAGAGTAGATTCTCACTTGATTATTACAGCCATCCCTTTTAGCTTTGAATTCCGTAGGTAGGTACTGTCGCAGACTGCAGATCAGCATGGAGATGTGCTGTGCTACCCTCCAGAATGGCCTGGAACAGGCATAGTTCAGCCACAGCATGACCTCTCTTCTCTACTTCTGCAGGAAACGAGTCCATGTGGGCTGCAGTGCTACTGTGACTAGGCCATAGCCGGTATCAAAGATGGCTTGCTACACACCACTGTGGCTTTCAGACTGAAATCTTCAGCAGTATAATCCCTGCCTGTAGGGCTGAATGACATCGCTGTGCTTGTATCAAGCAGCTGCAGAGCCAATTCAACAAGATTTCTGAGGGCTCCCCGTGTGCTGAGTAAAGTTCCAGGAAACAGAGACCAAACGGCAGTATTTATGCCGCCCCATGCTGGTGAATAGGTAGGGGATGCTGCTTCTGAAACAGAAGGCTCGAGAAACTGTTTCAGCAATGATGGAGGCCAGGGCTACTGCTTGCAGTACACTAACTATCAGTGTCAGCGTAACCAACCACCAGGCAGTGACAGGAATATCGTGGTGCTATCCAACTGCTCATCTTTTTGCTGAGGATGAGAATGATGAAGCAGGAGCTCCTGAGGCCACTGGTAATACAAGGATGCTATGCCAGTATAAAGACTTCAAAGTGCTTAGCCTGAAGAACAAATGTTATTTGTAAGCCACGCTCTTGTCACACGCATCACAGGGACTACAGGTATTGTGTAATTTTGTCATGCAGAACCAAACAGCGAGAAAGGGAATGACATGTCCTTGGGGTCTGAGAATCCTCTGCAGGACTTCTGTTTATAGAAACAGGTTTTAAACGAGCCCAGATTGAACCCAGTATCTATAACAACTTCAATAGCATCTTTTAATGACTCAAACTGGCCGGAGCAGCTGGCAAGAAATCTTGCACCCCTTGGAGAAGCTGAAGTTAGTCCAGGGAGCACATGTAGCTGGCGTATGTGAAATGTACAACTTTATCATCATCTTATAACTCAGAAAAATATCATTTAAATCAAGGCAGCTGACAGGTCCAGTTTGAGAGAAATATATATGTAGAAAATCAAATGTTTCATTAGGATGAGGACTTTAGAATATACTTGCATGTCTCACTGAAACAGAAGCACCCAGATGTTAAGGAGCAACAGAACCTCGTGCATTTGGCTCAAACCAATAGTTACTCGTAACAGACAGTGAAGTATTAAGAATGCTATCCTTACCCACCTCCAGCACATATCTGAGCTGCTGATAAAAGAGAAAATAAAGAAGGAATGCACCAATTAAACAACTGGAGGGAAACATTAGTGAGGCTACTGATATTGCAATTATAAAAAAATTAAAGTATTTAGGCCAGAAAGCCATTTGAAACTCATCAAGTGAAAATGCTGTTTGTTCATTGCTGGTTGCAGAATATCAAATGACAGTTTTCTGTCATCTCTACCAGGAAATACCTCTCTGACAACTTGCACAACTTCAGC